CCTGCAGCAGACGCTATTTTGCAGTGGCAGCCTGAGCTGGTACGAAGCCTTTGACGTCCCACTGCACCCATAGTCTCCTTAGGGTGCTCACTAACTCCCTGAAACCACTAGTCATCCTCACCCTGACACTTGATCCCCTCCATTTGGAAACTAGTCACTAAATAGCTTAAATCCAACTATCTAGCTTAGTAACAGATACTAAGAGAAAATACAGTGTATAATGCTCACCTATATTATAAATAGTCTTGAACTGTTTTCTAATTATTAAATTTGTCAAGGCCCTTAACAACCTGGAACTTGAATGCAGCAATAGTGCRTTATTCATTCATTTATTTATTCATCAGGCATGTAAGGTATTCAGTGCTGAAAATGCCATCCCTTCAGAGTTCAAAGCTAAGGTAAGGTTCGCAGGACAAACAAGTAAATAGGTCATTGTAATGTGATGTGACAAGTGCTGTAATAAAAATTCTGGACATTCACAAAAGTGAAATCTTACTCAGACTAGAGGCCTGTATGTCAAGCTTCCTGGATATCCCCATGCTGAGCTAAAGGTTATCCGAGATGGGAGAGAACATTGCAAGCAAAAGCAGCAGCCAGCATAGTCAAGGAGGTGGGTGAGAAGCAGCCCGGTGCATTCTGTAACTGCATGAAGTCTGTTAGGGCATGTCCATCAACAGCGGACCTCGAGGCCAGAGCAGTAGGCAGGGCTCAGGACATTAAGGTCCTGGTAATCTCTGTTCAGTTTATATTTTATTCAGAGAAAATCCACTGTGCCACTTAGAAAGTTTACCAACAAAAGGATGATGGGGTGAGGCTGAATTCACTTAGCTTTTTGAAGTTAATAAAATAAAAATTGAAGAAGGGAAGGCCCCAGAATAGATACAGAAGAGGCATTGACTGAAATATTCAAAAATTAAATGGACAAGCTTTGGTGATTTGACACTCAGTGCACCCTTCCCCTTTTCTTTCCATCCCTGATTTCTCATGATCCCAGGTCCACTCTGACTTCCAATTTCCTTTTTTCACTGTTAAAGTTCAAAGGCAACTTCTGGCATTGCACTGGTCTTCATTTTATCCCTACTCAAACCTGCTTTAATTTCTTGTCATGTACTTTTGGGCTACAGATGCACATCTTGCACATTAATAGTTTCTATGAAGAAAAATAAAATTAAAAAGCCACATTCTTGTTTTGGAAACCTTTTCCCAGCCCTGTAGTGCTGACCTTCAATCTCCCTACACACTGGTGCCACCAACCCCTGGGGCCAGAGGGTAAGAGGGATTCAGCTAACGTTCTCACAGGTGGAAAAATTAACCTCTGTGAAGGTTTTAAAGTTAAGATGCTTCAATTAAAGAGGTTGTGTTTTGGAATAAATACAAGGTATTATTAAGAAAACTGCAACACTGGATGTCTGCTACATAACAAAATTATTTGAAACCAAAGAGACAATCTGAAGCAACTGATCAAGAACTGTTTTGGCCCAGATAAGATTTCCTAGAGACTAGATTTATAGGAAGTTAGAACCTGTCCAGGCCAAATGGCATGTCCACAGGAGGCAGAAGCTCAGCTACTGCTTAAAAGACTGGAAATCTGGACAGGCTGAGCCAGGGTGATTCCCTGGAGCATGCCTACAGCTTACTGCCCCCTGCCCCCACTTCTGGAGGCTGATGAACATTGCAGCAGACTCAGTAAAAACTGGATCACAAGAATGCTGGGAGCTCTGGCAGTCAGAACTCTAATTTAGGACTTTGTCTCAATCCCAGCACACCGTTAATACATCAAAATCTGGATGGAGGCCTCTATTTTCTGTCTGGGCCTACAAACAAACATGGGCACAGAGAGAACCCTTTGAGAGCCACTTGGGAGACTTGCCAGGAACTCCAATAAACTAGATTTTGGGACTCAGGTGAAATCCTACAACATGGGCTGAAGCCCACTTGACATCAGTTGATTCAAGATAAGACTCAAGCCTGCCCAGATAAGTGTCTTTCAACAAAGACTGCCCTGTGTGAGGGCTGGGGAAGTGGCAAGGCAACAGTGTTCACTCATCACAGTCCAGGCTTCTATGGGATTGCTCAGATGCTGTGTTTTTGGCAAACAACTTACCCCCAAATAATGCCTAAACTGCTATTATGGCACAGTTTGCTGAAACTAGTAACTGCAAGCTCACTTGCTGAAACCATACTACCAATCAGAAGAAGCCCTAAAATGAACTTGCTCTCAGTCCTTTGTTCCTACCATGGCCAAGCTTTCCATGTCCTCAATAAAAGATCACCATTAAGTTAAATTACCTTTAATAAATACTTTTTACCTATATAATCTCTCTCTCCATGAACCCCCAGCTTCCAACATTCATTTTACATTTTTACCACATAAAAGTATCTGTGTCCCTTATTAGATACCAAGCTCCTTTAAAGTAAGCACCTGCCTACCACATTACCTGTAAACTTTCAGAGCTTATTACAACACTCTGTACATAATAGACTATTAAACATTTTTGAATGGATTAAGAAGAACCTGTATTGTGTCCTACATATAATTTTTTGGGAAAAATCCACCTTGTCCATATAAACAAGATGAAACTCTTCAAGACCTAAAAGCAGAAATCAATAAACCTAAATTAAACCTAGTTTTGCTTTCACTTATTTTTAAACAAGTATGAAAAATGCATACACAATAAAATGGCACTAACTTAGATGGTAAATGGAGAACACAACAACTACATATGAAAGATTGTATACAAGATTTAGGAATACACTAGGACCCCAAGAACTTAATGGGCAAAAAACATGGACAAGTCATTGAAATGAAACATACAAAGCTAATAAAACATTTAAAAAATTTCCAACCTCATTAGACATTATTTACCTATTGGATTAGCAAAGTTTTAACCAAATGATGGTGTGGAAGAGAGTATTTATACACCCTTGTATCGTGGGAAATGGATATTCACATAGCTATGTGGATAAGAAACCCTAAAACTTGTTACACCCAATATATGCATGTGAGATGTTGTGTGTGTGTGCCCAGCTCCTCCCTCCTCTATCCATCAAACTGTCTGTCGTGTGTGTGCATACAGAAGTTACATATATATAAACATATGAACTAAAGTTATCTTTATACTTTTCTACATATTTCTTTTTAAAGATATCCTAAGAAATCAACATATTGATTAGAATGTATGCAGTATGACTTAGGAGGTAAGCATTCAGCTCTACCACTTACTAGATATGTGACCGTCAGCAAATTATTCATTCTGTGGACTGTTTGCATCAGTAAAATGATGATTTAAAAATATTTTTAAAAACACCTACCTTACAGGGTTGGTGTAAAGATTAAATCAGAATACATATTGGAGTTTCAAATACTGCCTGCAAAGAGTGCTCAATAAACATTAAATGCTAATACTTCACATAAATTTGGTAATGGCGTAATGTTTCATGGCAGACAAATGTTAAAAAAAGAGTATGGCATGGGCTGGGGTTTTGGCTCAGCGGTAGAGTGCTCGTCAAGCACATGTGAGGCCCTGAGTTTGATCCTCAGCACCACATAAAAATAAATAAGTAAAATAAAGGTATTTTTAAAAAAAGAGTACAGCAAATCCATACAATGGCAGATTATCATGCAGTCATTAAAATGTTGTTCATGAAGAGTTGTTATTGATGTTGGAGAAATATTTTTATTAAGTGAAAAAGCATAGCTATAGTAAATGTATAGTATGATTTCAATTATGTGAAATAACAGAAAACAGACCAAAATACTAAAAAATGTTATTTTAGGTAGTAGAATTTGGTCTGCTTGCTGTTATTCTCTTCTTTATACTTTTTATCACTGAAGTTTTGTTTTTTTTTTTTTAAATAGTATGGAAGGTATTACTTTTCAAACCAGGAAAACACCATAATTTTGAAAGGTTAAAATAAGGCAACAAGTGGGTAATTTTAAAAATTTATAGAAATGCCCAACTTTTCACATATAAATAATACAGAAATTTTTGTGGCTTTCCAAAGCTCAATTATTTTCTGTTAAGTTTACAAATATAGAGTATTGTATTAATGCAAAATAAATATTACAAACACCACAAAGCAGTAAATACCCCTTGACTGAATCTGTTTATAAACAAGTGTATGAAAAGCAGCACTTAAACAAGGACTCCCTGAGGCCTAAGCAGAAGGGCAGCCTGACCCAGGGCACCGCTCCAGCCTGGAAAGGCAGAGCCCTGGGTGGCAGCTCTTCTCCCAGCTTCACTCTAGGCTCCAGTGGCTTTGACCTCCCCATCATCAGACTACAAAGCTCCCATTCCTTCTGCAAGTTTCAAAGGGAAGAACTCCTTCTGTTTTGTAAGGAAAAAAAAAAAAAAAGTATTTCTTCTCTAAATAAACTTTCCAGGACACTTTTAAATTACTTATGCACAATTTTTCCTCTTAAACAACTTTAGATCTGAGTTCCTAAACTCTACCTTTCAGATTACTTAACCTTATTATTAGTAAAAATCATGAATTCATTTCAATCAATTTCTGCCCTTAACAGGACTTGGTCTGTTAAAAATGTAAGTATCAGCCTATGTAAACATCATTTAAGACCTTAATTAACAGTTTTTGACAATAGGACCAAGGAAAACAAACAATCCCAGTTTACAGGAGATTTCCTGAAATTCTTCACATTCTTAGTAATTAAAGCATTTCTTTGGGGCAAATGTCAAAGTAACCTCTTGCTTATCAATCAGCATCTTTACCTAAACAGCACTGGGTTAAACATTATGTATGTTACCTATAATGCTGAAAAACTACTCTGGCTAATACTTATTGAATTGCTCACCCAAACACCCTCCACATTGCATTAACCCGATCATTTTTGACTAATTTTTTAAGATGTAATAAGCAGAAACCCAAATGTTAATGTTCTCTGTTGCTGTATGAGACATTTCTCACAATAAAGCTAGCCTATAACAATCTACTGATTTAATAAACACCGAACTTTACAAATTAATACAACACAATCTAAATGCACCATAAATTTATATTTGTTAATCTTGATATTAGAACATTTAAACATTTCAAACTACATAAAAATATGACAAACAATATAAAATAGAAAGACATTTGTTGACAACTTACTTCCAAACATCACTATTTCTTAAATTGCAATTAAGCAACAAGACAGCTTACAAAGCTCTCCAGAAAACAGATAAATGTTTTTTGAGGAGTGTTATCAACCAAGATCAACACAATCCCACACAATAATGTCTCCAATTTATTATCTTTTCCACAGTACAAATTTTTCACAAGTCATAAATCCTTTGTCGTTATTCAAAGTCTGTAAACAAGTGCCGGAACCCCCATATCCCGACATCAGTTTAAGCTTGTGAATGTTTTAAGTCCTTCAATCAAGTTTCAACTCTTTTACTTGCATAAGGAATCAAGAGCCTTCTCTCTTTAAATTATTTCTATTTTATCATACAGCCTGCAATGCAGTAAATCACAGTGAAAGCCCTGGGGAAAACAAAACAACATGATCTTTACAGCAGGACTTGAAACTTTATAATAATAAATGCATTTAAAGAAGCATCCCATAATAAAAGCGTGGGTTTTCATTTCCAGAAATCAAGTCAATTAGAAACTCTAGTTTCTACTTAAAAACCCATTTTGATCTAAAAGTGAAAACAGTCCCCTATCCATAGTCATTTTATAAACTATACAGTTTCACTTGCAGACATTTTTTTTTCCCAGTCTGGAAAAGAGTAGTGCAATTAGTTTTATGTCTTTTAAGTTATTTAGTCCATGATGTAAATAGCTCTGTGGAAAGATAAGAAGATGCTCTGGTAAACAAGAAATTTTTGCAAGCCCATGCTGGCTTACTAGTCCATTAAAGCTTGTAAGTCCATAGTGGCTTTCAACAAAATGTTGTATACACATCACTAACAACAAAGCAGAAATAAATAGGCAGAAATTACTGTAAACTGTCTCATCTCTTAAGATTTTTCAGTAATAACTGGCTTGACGAATTGATTATATAGTCACTTAAATAAGCAGACAGTAGACAGTTGCCCTTAAGGACATTCCACTATGGCATCCTGTCTGGAAAGCCCCAATGGAGTTACATTCCTAAAATTAAAACAAAAAGCAGGGAGTGAGGGTAGGAGAAGTTTACAGATGCCACTGGACAGAATTCCATCAAGTCAGCCAGGTCACTTGGATTTCTTCTTAAAAAGGCTTTTGATTTTTGATGGCTTTTTGCTTTTCTCTCCATTATGACACAGGTCATGTGGGATGCTGCTTATCCTAGTAACATTTGGGGCTTCCTGAACTGGTTTACTGTCGTTGCCAGCAGAAGAACATGATGTGTGGCGAGGTTTGGGCACTGGGATGCCACTAGAAAGCTGGTTCATGCTACAGGATTTCTCTAAGATGCCATTGTATACTTTGCTTGCAGGACTGAAGATCATACTCTTTGTTTCTGTCAGACCTACACAATCGGGAGAGCCACGGGAAAGATCTGCAGTTATGGGTGAATCTCCTCTGGAGGAATCCTCTAGGGAGAGCTCATCTCTTGATATCTTTCGAGGAGACAATGTTTGATATATCTCAAGGCTTGAAGGAGGAGACTGTTTCCTTCCAATGGAAGAGTTTAAGGAGTCACACTCAGAAGCTGTGTCTGGCACTTCCCTGAATGAGATAGCAGTAAAAAGTTTAAATGAGCATATTGTTCAGAGTCCCAGCAGGCATTCTAATGAAAATGACTTTCATTAATTCTCTTTCAAAATTTAATAGAAGAAATGCTACAATTCTATATACATTTCTAAAAAATTAGAGAATTAAACTTTATATAATAACATAGCTTATTAAAACTCAGGAGTTATGTTTTGTTTTTCACATAAACCTTACAACCTAAGAAACTTTATAACATAAGCTATGCCTTTTACAATTGTCAGAGAAATGAAAATTTTAAGATATCATCATTTTTTTACTTTTTTAGTTGTCAATGGAACTTTATTTTATTTATTTTTATGTAGTGCTGAAGACCCAACCCAGTGCCTCACACATGCTAGGCAAGTGCTCTATCACTGAGCTTTGGCTCCAGCCCATCATATATTTTTTTAACATAAAAATTTCTGGGTTTTTTTTCAGTACCTTTCTTTCTGAACCACAGAATTGGTACTTATTTATGAAAAAAATGGAATTTTAGTCACTGCTTTAGTCTCTTAATTTTTTAATCTTAACTTGATGAAATAATAGCTCCTTAAGGAGGTAAAGGAATATACTACACAAATATGTAATTTCTATGATCTAAGAGGAGGACGAGGAGTTGAGATGTGGTGAAGTGGAATGGATAGGGGGTGAAAGGCAATTCTATAGTTTTTTTAAAAAAGCAGATATTCAATAAATTCTCAAAGATTAATTCCTTTGTGCATGTCTCCCCAACCTTTCTCCACAAGGGAAAGAGAAATAAAAAACTAAAGTTCATAGCCCAGCAGCCGTCATTCCTTCAAATTCACTGCTCCTTATTAGCCCCTCTACTGCCATCCATCTTCCAGAACCATCATGAACTCACCTAAATGATTACAACAGATTCCTAATTGGTCTCTCTGCTTCCATGCTTGTTCTTCCCTCTGTTACTTCTTTACAAGCCATTTGGTTTTTCAAAACTCAAGTTAACATACTATTCACTTGTTCAAGGCTTTCCAATGCTTTCTCTCTCAGAGTAAAATTTTAAAAGTCTTGTCTAAGCCTATATGAGTCCCTTTACATCTGCCCCCGGTTCTTTCCAGTCACATGCCCTTCCTCTACCTCACTCCACCCCAGCCTCTTTCTTATTCTTCCAATATGCCCATCTTGGGACATCTCCACAGCTTTGTACTTGTTTCTGCCTGGTATCATCTGTCTATCTCCACATGGCTTACTTCTCCAAGTCATATGGGTTACTACTCTTTCCCCAGAGACGACTCCCCTAGGTACCCTATGTGAAGCAGCCTTCTTTTTTCTTTTACATATTTTTACCATCCTAGCATGTACCAGTAACAGATATTTTATATTAACCAGTTTATAGTCAGTCTACCCAGAAGAAAGGAACTATAAGGAGGGGTGGTCTTCTTAACTTCTGTAATCTCTGCACAGGAATAGTGGCCAGCTCACAGTGAGTAATGAATACAAATACTTTGAACAAATGAACAGATGGATTGATGAATGCATAGAATGAGATCTTGAAAATCAGGAACCATGTCTTATTTACTTTTGGAATGCATTGAGCCCAATCTGAATACTGTTCACTTCATGAAAAAAAATGCTTATAAAATGAAAGGTAGAGTCTAGGTAAAAAGTAACTGGTCAAAGAAATAAAGCGAGACAAGGACAGGACAGAAAGGCAAGAGCCTTTATGATTATGATCTACAGCTGAAGTAAGCCAGGATCATCTCACTTGCTTTGGCAACTTAAGTTATTAACCAGTGTCCTGCACATAGCATGGAATAAATTCATATTTATAGAATGAATGAATGAATGAACACTCTCTGTCTTTGGATGGTCTATAATTACTATCACTTTGCATAATATTTACATTCATGTTTACTCTGGCATTTAGTTTTGACAAGTATTTTCTGTTAATATCATTTTAGATATACATTATATTGCTGAATTTATTTGCTCATGTCCATTTACTTTATTCTTACATATATGGAAAGATTATTTTTACTATAAGCTCCCAGAAGGTTCAAAATCCCCTGGGCTAATAAAGACTTAAATAACATTTTCATATAACATATGCTGCATGATTTTCAAGCGCTTCAACAATTTGATAATGAGTAGAACTACAGAAAGCATCAGGCAGTTGAAATATGAAGAAAGGACTACTCTCAGAAATAAATCATTAGTAGGAACATTTCCATGAAGCACCTATATGGGGTGAATGCCCATTAATTGAACTCACTAGTCCCTGAAGCTGTTCAGCTTCCAAAGTCAAAAGCTGATTTATTTACAATCTTATAAATTTACTTTCTTTTCCGCTTTGTGTGTGAAATTCTAAGCTAGGTTAAAAATATTCCAAAAACTAGTCTCTAAATAATGAGTAAAGAGAATACTGATCTAAGTTAGGACACCTGGATTCCCATACTGGTCCTGCCCTTACAACCATAAAACCTTGGGTAAATCACCTAGTTTCTCTAGGTCTCAATTTTCTATGTTCAAGGAAGAAAATGTGATTGATTTCTAATGTCATTTCTCATCTTAATATTTGAATTCCAAAAACAAATAATAATCTAATGTACTGTTGCTTCTCCCACATAGTCAAACTTAAGAGTGTAGGAATAGTATAGCTTAAAATTTACATTCTTTCTACAGCATATTTTCTTTGAAGGTTGAACTTAATCATGTGTACTATTTATATTTTTAACAGCTTTTATTTTTTTATTTTTATTTTTAGCAGTACTGAGGATCAAACCCAGGGCCTCATGCATACTAGGCAAGAACTTTACCACTGAGCTATGCCCCAGTCCCCATTTATTTTATTTTTCTATTTATTTTCCCCCCACAGTAAAATATAGTTAAATTCATTAAAATTTAGCACATGTATGAAAAGACAACCTAAGGTAAGGTTTAAAAGAGTACATATGTACATAATATATAGAACATAAAAGATCAGCAAATATTAACTATATTATTATTTTATAGGGATTCTGGAGATTCAACAGTTTAGAGTCTAAAAATAAAGAGGAAGAAATATTTTTTGGATCAAATTTTTCTTACATTTATGATCTAGCTGTGAATTTTTGACATTGCTATCTAAAATGAGGACTGAACATTTTTATCAATGCAAGAAATCCTACTGGACAGTACAGCTCTAGAGTTTTCCTACCAGTTTTCAGAAGCCACACAAAAGCCACACAGTTCAGTCAGTACAGACATTCTGTTGGAGACTACAGTTACACTGCAAAGATATACAAAAGGCTAAGAGTGAAGTGCTAACCAAGAGAAGTTGCACTGAACTCTCCAATTGCAATGGGGATACAAACCCTGAATTATTCTTTAAGAATAAATTGCAGTGATGGAGTATCTACCTACATCTTCACAGGAGGCAGAATTCTGAGATGGCTTCCAAATTCCCAGTTCCTGATGTACACACACCTTCTCCTAGTTATTCAAATAAATACAAATTTAAATGCTGTGGTAAAGGGATTTTACAGATGAAATTAAGGCCTCAAACAAGTGGCTCTTAATACAGAGAGATTATTATCTAGCTAAGTAAATTTGAGTCTTGAAATCAGAGATGGAGTAAGTTGGAGATTCAAGCAAAAGAGTTTACAAAAGGGAAATCACTGTAACTGTCTTTGAAGATGGAAGTCACAGGCAAGGAATGGAGGGCAGCCCTTAGGGCCTGAGAGTAGCCCCACTTCACTGGCCACTGGTCTTGACCCCTTTGCTGAGATCAGCACAGGAAGAGGACTTCAGTCCTATAATCTAAAGGAATTAAATTCTACCCAAGTACACGAGCTTTGAAGGGGACCCTGCTTTCCAAATGAGAACACAGCCCTGCCAACAGTTGATTTTAGCCTTGTGGGACCCTAAACAGAAAATGCAGTCGCACCAGGCTTGCACTTCTGACTTGCCAGCTGAGTGTGCACAAATGGGTGTTGTTTGAAGCCACAGTGTATGGTAACTTGCTATGCAACAGCATGAACAGAATGCACCACTCCCCACCCCCAACCCCATCCCTATTCTGCCCAGAGGCAGTATGTGCTGCAATGTACCCATTGCCAATACCATTGCTTCTCAGCAGTGAAGTAAATGGCCTCTTCTTCCTCTTCATTCCGATAAAGCGCAGGGCAACTTGACACTGAGAGGATATCTGGATCAGGGGAAGGCAACGAGTGCTGGGTGTGCTGGGGCTGGTGGGAATGCCGAGGGTGTGAGGCGAGGGCAGCATGTGGAGGAAGCTGAGCTCGCTGAGACTGTGGTGAGGAGGGCACGATGCTGCGACGCGAGCGACACAAACTACTGCTTCTGGCTAGTGACCCAACAGGTTTAGGCATGGTCCCTGAAGAACAGATAAACAAGAACACTCTTTAACATCCAATCTCTCTTTATGGTCCCTACAGATACACAAGAGAAGTGATGTCACTGATATTTCACTGTTTAATCTTTCTTTATTGAAGTAAGTAATTATATAATCATACCATTCTCTACCACCTATATTAATAAAGTTAAAAAATAATAAAAGGAACAAAAATGAAAATAGGTCTAAAAATTAAACAGAAGTGAACATAAACATATGAATTTTTAATGTAACTCTTATGATTTCAATTCTCATTTGTAGTCTTAGGCCAGATCTGTCACTCCAGGTTCAGTCTTTCTCCTGAACTTACAGACTCATCTCCAACTGCCTACCAGACACTTGGGTAACCCACAGATATCCAGCTGAATTCAACATATGCCTCTCCAAACTCACTTCATCTTCTGTGTCCCATGTCCAGTAAATAACACTACACCCAACCGGTTATCTGAACTGTAAACTATATTTTTGACTATATAATTTTGACCCTTCTTCCTCCATTATAATCCATGTCAAGTTAACTTTCAAGTGTCTAATTCTACCTCTTTGGCATCTCACAGATCTGTCCCCTCCCCTACATTTCCATGCTGATGGACTATACTGGACTATTCTATCCACCTCCTAACTTATCTTTTCCCTCCAATGTTTTCTCCGCACTGAACCTGTGTGATCACTCTAAAAAGGAAAAGGAAAATGACATTCTACTATGTAACACCTTAAAAAACCAAACTCTTTACTATGGATTAGATTGCTCTAACTAGCTTCTATTTTGAAATTAGTGTCCCTCTCTTTTGTTATAGGAACAGTGGGATCAGTATACTTGGCTCCTTAGAAGTATCATATTTTCTTGCTTCCAGGACTCCTTTTCCCAACTCTCCCTTGTCCTCCCATCCTAGGTATTTGCTTAAATGGCAGTTCCTTCAGCCCCTTCAAGTTTGAGATCAAGGTCTGCCCTATAATTCTCCCTCAAGAAGGAGGAGCCATGGCATAGTTATCCATCGCATAACTCATCTCAGTGCATGGCTTTCATCTGTCCTCCGCTACACTATAAATTCCAGGAAGGCAATAATGGTGTTTTGTATGCAACACTGTATCATAACACCTAGCCCAGTACTCAGGAAAAAGGGACGCTTAATGAATAAATCAATGGATGAATCAGAAATAATCACAGAAATAGCCTGACAGAAAAATAAGGTAAAATTTTTAAAAACATTTTTAAATTTTTACTACCTTCCTTAATACCATGCAAGGCTTTTTCTAAACACAAATGACATAACATGAAAATATTTATAATTTCACAAACATTAGCATTTATTTCACCTATAATTTATGACTCATAGATTCAAGCATGAAAGATCTTGCAAATCTTTAGTCCGATGTTCTCACTTTGCCAAAGAAACCATGTCTTGTGAGTAGTAAAAAAAAAAAAAAAAAAAAAAAAAAAAACTGTGTTCATTGTTATACAGATAACTTAATTCTACAATTCTCGGTAGGTACTGCAGTGATTCCCAGCAATCACTGGTTATTTGAAATATGCAACAAAAGCAATATTCAGTTAAGACTGACAGAAAAGTCTGAAAGGAATCACGCTCCATTGCTTGGAAAAATGAGTACTATCCACAAAGATGAAAAATACTGCATAAAAAAGTAGTAAGAATGAGTTAAGGCTGGGAGCAATGGTGCATGCCTATAATCCCAGTGGCTATGGAGGCCAAGGCAGGAGGATCACAAGTTCAAAGCCAGCCTCAGCATAAGCGAAGAGCTAAGCAATTCAGTGAGACCCTATCTTTAAATAAAATACAAAATAGGGCTGGGGATGTGGCTCGGTGGTCAAATGCCCAAGTTCAATCCCTGGTTCCCCCACTCCAAAAAATAAAAATAAAAAATAAAAAGAGTTAAATAGTTTATGTAAAGAAAATTCTAAGTAATTTACTAATGAGTATAACAAAAATGAGAATCAGTAAATTGGTTACATCTATAAATTGTTTATTACAACTCAATAACTTTTTCTAAAAATTTCTTAAATATATTGCTATCTCTTTTGTCTTGAATTATCCTTGTATTACAGTCACATACATTTGGAATTAAGTCATATACTTGGGGTCTTTTCTCTTGTTGTTTGAAGAGTCCTAAACAGGGACGACTACAGTTGTATCATAAAATTTATGGAAAATTAAAAAGTGGTACATTTTGACCTTGTAACAAGCTTTGCTTTACATGTAAATATGCATGTTTTATGGTACCTTCAAGTCATTATTAATTCCTAATGAAGACAGACATCCATTCATACCTAGGAGTTTTAATATTTTTTTTAAGGATTTTTGGAATTACCTAAAGAAACACAGTAACTTATATGATGATCATATATTTACAAACTTCTTTGTGATGTATTTCTTATCACAGAGGAAAAAAAAACTTTGTTTTCAATAAGGAATTCCTTCATCCACAACCTAAAATAATAAGAAATACTTTACTTTTTTTATATTTATTTTTTAGGTGTAGATGGACACAACACAATGCCTTTATTTTTATGTGGTGCTGAAGATTGAACCCGGGTCCCGCCAGTGCTAGGCGAGCGCTCCACCGCTGAGTCACAATCCCAACCCAAGAATATACTTTCTGGTTCTAGCAATATGGCAATCAAAGGTAATCTGACCACAATATCTTGAACCCCACCCCACAAAGACACAGTTTAAATACTTTGAAATATTTCAATACACTACACAAAATTTAGCAATTGTTTAAATGCATAGCTAGCTTGTAAGCAATAAAAGCAAATTCTCAGATGCCAAAACAATGAGACTAATAGGTCTCTGAGTGATGCTACAATTGATGGGAGGTTATCAATCTTGTTAATCCAAGGGTTTAGGGCTTCTTAACATCGGGATATAAAATTGAACTGGGGTCCACATAAGGTAAGGAATTAAGAGTTGTAAGGGAGCACCTAGTATGGCTACATTCCTGAGTAAAATGGTATGTTAGGAAAAAAAATATTACCAATGAATAAGGAATTTTTTTCACTATATCATCTCTAGATATAGGGATTTAAAGAGTTCTGTGAAAAATTTAATAATCTGGATCTGTATGTCCTATTAGTTTGGAGTAAAAGTTAAGACTACCAGAGGATATGTGAAATCCTAACCTAAAAATGTTAATGTAAAAATTGACAATGATTTGGTGATAGCCTTAAAACTACTTCCAGAAGCAAAGAAAATCATTTTGAGGGGTACTCCAATATATCACAAAGTGTTTTATGGGGGAAAAAATGCCAAGTCTTAACTTAGAAATAGCTCAGTTAAAAAATTATACAACAGGATAGAGAAGGCAGTTTACTATGCAAAAAGCTGTAATAATTAATCAAGAACAATATATAATAGGATTATCAAATAAAAGCTAAAAATATAAGAATTTTAAATCATCCCCCAAATAGTAAATTTCGATGAGACAAGAATCAAGCATTAAAAGAGAGATTTGATAAATGACAAACTAAGAGAAATGAAAACCACAATCACTGTACTTAAGAATGAAAGACAGATTAAACAAAGCTGAAGAAAGGTTGGTAATCTAGAAGAGAAATCTAAGGAAACTTCTCCGAATGCAGCATAGCTAGATAAAGACTATAAAAAGACAAGATAACAGATACCAAAAATAAAGTAAAGATACAACATGTAAGTAACAGGCTAATATTAGACAAATTTCTAAATAGTTAATACTCTAGAAGGAGTGCCTAAAGAAAAAAAATGTTCAAAAGATAATGCCTAATAATTTTTTTCAGAGGTGACAAAAGACATGTATCTTCAGATTCAAGAAACATATCAAATACTAGCAAAAAAGAGAAAACTTTAAAAACTATCCACACTTGATCAGCTTGCGGTGAAACCACAAAACAGAAAAGACAATGAAACATTTTTCCAGAAATCAGAGAAAAGTAACAAAGTACTTAAAAAAAGAAATTAGAACAGCTTGACTGACTACAAACTTCTCAACCACTATAATGATAATTTTAAGATACTCTGGTAAATATAGTCAAACTGTTATTCTAGAATTCAATATCTAATTAAACTATTACTCTCTCAAGGCATTTTCTGGCAAAGACCAAAAGCACTCTAGGTCAATTAAAGAAATTTGATAAAGGATGTATTTTCAAGAAGTGGGGGGAGCAAAAAGCAAAATGTAATGACTAACAGGAATAAGCACATACATATAGCTGAACAATGACTGAAGCAACAACAAACCATAACTGTGTTGAAGGATATTCCACACAAAACAAAATACTACATAATATGAACATATAAGGTGAGAAGAGAAGTTTACACAAAAATGAAAGCATTTAAAGGTCCTTAATTGTTCGGGAGGATAATAGAAAAGCTAAAAAGAGGTATGAGAAACAGAAACCATAAGACAAGATTTCTGAGATATATACAAAAACATCTAATACTAAGTCACAAATCAAATTTCAGGGCACCATTCTCTAACCACATTGGCAACTAGAAATCAATAAATAAAGGTGTTTTTATTAAAAAAAAATTACCAAACAAAACATAAATACATTTAGAAACCAAAACACATACTTTCCAATGATTCACATTTCAAGGAAGGGTCACATTAGAAATTAGAAACCTTTTAAATCTAGATGATAATCAAATAATACATATCACAATTTGTGGATGTGGCTCAGGGAGTCTTAGCAGGAACATGATAGCCTTAGAATCATATATTAGGGGGAAAAAGAAGACTAAAAATTCATGGGCTAAAGTATATAAATATTAAGATGAACAAACAGAAACTCCAAGAAAGAAAGAAAAGTTAAGAGTGGAAATAGATGGAGAATATCAAGAAAACCAACAGTTTTTTTCAGGAGTAAAAAAAATGAAATCAAATAAATTATGAATTAATAATGTTTCTAGGGAGTATAAATAACTCTAAAAGGAACAAAAAAGATTTACAGATACAATTGACATTTTGAAAGCCATAAAATATTGTAA